TTGACCTCTAAGAGGCTACTTATGAACACCTCTTGGAAGGCCCTGGTACATGGAAAGTTTGGGATATTCTTTGCCCGATCAAGTGCCCGATCGATGACACGTGGAACACAGCATTGCCGAGAATGATTGGGAGCCAAGGTGCCAGCAAGAAGCTGCGCTCGGGTCCTTCAAGTAAACATTATCCGTCGAAATCTGGGTCATTAATCCATGATGAACGATTTGGGCTTCCGAAGCTCAGTCATTGCCTTCCAAACCACCCCGCCCCATGACACCCCCCCCCCTGCACCAGCAGCGGCCTCCTGTCGAACCCTTACGGACCTTACAACCGGGCTAAGTGTGAGAACTTCCAAGTCCAGAAACTATAGTGGATTGAGAGTCAATGGCGCAAGTTACCCCAAGTTTGGTAGTTTATATGGACCATCATGGAACCCATCTGTCGAAGACATCTTGGGGAGCTGGTGTCATCGAACCTCTGAAACCACTGTGCATCGCCTGTGCAGAGAGGTGGGACCCACGGAAAAAATGTGAACACATCTCGAGGACACAAAGCCTCCCCTTTCTTCACCCAGACACTCCATGGGATTGTAATTGTTACCTACAATGGATGGGTCATTTTCATTCGCCTAAGAGAGGTTGAGAGGTCGCTTCACGTTCGGACCCCATAGTGGTACGTATACTTCTTACAGCTATAAGGCTGTTCGCCCTCTTGGGGGGGTGCATGATGTATCTGTAACTCTTCCAGTCCCATTCCTTTGGGCCCACTTTCTGGTTGCTTGGCCGGCGGTCCAACCCACCGGTCGTATGCGGCTCGGTCGTATGCGGTCGTTCACCAGGATGGCGCGCTGAGTGCCAACGATTTATCCGGCGCTTTGGAGCTTTCCGCACCCACCTTCCAGGAGCCCGGGCACGGAGCCTCAGATAGGCAGATGGTGGGGACCGGCCTGACTTCCCGACCCTGGGGTGATGTGGATGATGGGGGCTCTTCGGCAGACAGCAGAAACACCGCAGGAGGCGTCCACCGTTCTCCGTCCAACCCGCAGGAGACTGGTCGACAGATGGTCGGGGGGGGCTGGTGGATGTGGATGGACGCGTGCTACGAATTCAGGAGGTTCTTCACGTTCTTTCGTTTGGTTCTTTCCTTTCCCAGACACGACCCAGTCGACGGGACTGCCAGTCCGGACTGCCTTCAAAACGGCCAGGGGTGGTGCCAGGGGGGGTGAATGTAGGCGGCATACCAAGAGAGGTTGAGAGACCTGAACTCACGTTCGGACCCCATAGTGGTACGTATATAGATGGGCGACCTTAAGGCTGTTCAACCTCTCTTCCATACCCCTACGGATCCAAGTACCTTCTCAGAGGGTACTTGGACCTTCCAAACCTACATAACAGTGCCTCCAATCACCTTCTGAGAAGGTACTTGGATCCCTAGGGACATGGAGTGTTTGAAGTTCGCCTCGAGGAACTTCGACACCCGAAGGGTCGTCCACTCGGCCCCTGACCGACGGAAAACGAGCACACCGAGCACACCATCGGCCTCCTCAAATCGTCTTCCTTCACCGGAGTCCAGGACTCCACCATGTTTCTAACGTTTTGTGAACGAAAAACATCCGAGTGAGTGAGTGAAAAGGAACTGACACTGAACACTGATTGGGTGGTGCCTCAAATCGGCGAACCTGGACGTACCCGGCGGGTTTGTCCTGCCACGGTCGCACGTGCGACCGAGGCTTCGACATCAATCCGTCCTAATGGTGCCCATGTGGCCTCACGGACGCCACCAAGGTGGGGGTGGTCGGGTGGGGGAGGGAGAGGATGAGACCCTCTTAGCATAGATTTCAGAGGGTAGGGTCACCTACCACTTAGCAGGTCCCTATCTAAGGTAGGCTATATTTTAGGTTCTTTTTGGAACTGCTGTGGTTTTGTTTTAAGGAATCGGCAGGTGTTGAATATGGTTTTGAGATGGTTTTGAGATATTGAATGGAGATGTTGACGAATTGGGATAGAATCACATCAATAAATAGAGACGATCTAATCACTTTGATTTTATCACCACCTTCCTTCATTTCTTCGTCTTTCCGGTCTTCGTCTATGTCGGAGGTCACGAGATGGATGCCAAGACCTTGAACAGTCGCTTGCTGGTTGGGGCGCTTGGCTGTGACGGTCCAGATGCTTCCAGACCTGTGAAAGAAGGAATTCGGAAAACATGCGCAGAAGATCGAGAAGGATTATGAATTCAATCTAATTCGCATCGGCAGCATATTACCCGTATATTTATCTACCTAGCACTTCCAATGGGTGCCCAATGGAGGCCCGTAAGTAAGGTAGGGTCGTCTATTGGACACCCATTGGATGATCCTGGTATACATTGCTTACGCGGATGCTTTGATACTGGACTAAGGCGGCAAGTGGAAAAGAGAAGACAGATGTAAATCCAACTGGGTGGGAGAAGCAGAGACTGGATTTTGGGAAGCAAACACTGGATCGCATGAGAGATTTAAGACCCAACTGATTTGGTATTTGCCGTCCATCCAGCACAGCTAGGACGGATGTCAGCAGAGGTCACAAGATCTGTTTGGTCATATGTTGCTTTGGTCGATGGATGAGACGCATGACAGCTTGTTTGTGTCACCAGCTTGCTGGCAGAGAACAGATTAGGTCTTGGTTGTGTAAGCGGATGTCAATGGATGTCAATGGCCTTTATTAGACCTTCAATCCGCAAACCAACTAGAGGTTTGCACGGCTTCGCCGACTTGCTCCTAGTAGTAATGCCCCTTGTTCCTAGTACGTAGTAATGCCAGGAGCTACTACTAGCGATGCCAGTTGCTACTAGTAGCTTCTTGCTACCAAAAGTATCTAAACACCGCCTTGGGCATTTCCACGGGCCCTTCATGCTCTTCCCTTCAACGCCCGCTGAGCGGAGTTTCCCACTGCGAGGCCAAGTGGTCCACGCTGTCGAACGCCTTTTCCAAGATGGACGCCGATGGAAACCACCAGCCGCCCGGTGTTTCAGCGGCACCGCCTCTCCGGGGCGGAAGCCTCACTGCCTCCAAGCGAGTGGCAGATGGAGCTTAACATCGGGGGGGGCAGATGCTTCCGATGGTTAAGAGAGTTAAATGAGGTTCTCACATGCTTCGCTTTTTTTTGGCCATTCCATCAAGTGGAAGATGGCACAGCAGTCTGAGATCCCCCACCTTCAGCTTCCTTCGCGCTGAAGGATGAGTATACGCACTACCTAGGGTCCAACCAACAAGCAATTGGAACGCCACAAGACGGATGGAGGAAGTTGGGGTGCCCCTGTCACATCCACTCACTGGATGGGACGAACAACACAACCCAGGCCCTCCATGTGACTCCTGGTGCACTCCAAGTCATGTTCCAGTGGATCCCTCACCCCGCTGCTTCATCTCGGGGCCATGGGCAGAAGACTCGGGGTCACACCGAGTTCGTTCGGAGGGGCCCAGAATCGACGTCCGACCCGAACAAAGGATGCGAACAAACATGTCAAAAGCCATAGCTACGTTTGAGCCCTAATCCCTGGTAGGTTGACCAGTCTATTCTGTTCATGTTCGGTGGGAAAGACCAGGGTCTCCCCTTTTTAGCCAGGCTGGACCCACTCACTCGACCGAGGCTGAGCCATGAAGAGTTCGGGGGCCTGGCTACTGGAAGCATCCCAGCAAGAGATCCTTTGGTCACTGAAATCTGGTGCAAACTTGCCCCCCAAAAATGCAGTAGTTTGAAGTTATGGAAGCAGAACCACGCATCAGGAAGGGGCTTCGTTGCTACGGTATATAGTCATGTAAGTAATGTTTTCTCGTCTAGTGAGGTCCCGATCGAGGACCCACAAGGGGTGGCTAATAGAGGCCCTTTAACCTCCAACTGGTCATGAATGGACATCCTTTGGGGGGTGTATTTCAAGAGGGGCACCCCCTTGTTTGGGTCTTTCTTTCATTCCTACTTCAAGTATAGGAAGGGCTGCATGTTTGCGCTTTCGAGCCTGGGTGCTGGTGCCGCTGCCGGGTGCCGCCGCTGTGTGCGCTTGGGAGGTTGGCACTGGTGCCGCTGCAGGGTGCCGCTGCAGGGTGCCGCTGCTGCTGCGTGCGCTTGTTTATGGTATCTTGTACGTATTTCTTGGGTCCATGTGATGTTTTCAGGAGCGCTGTGACAGGCAAGTGAATAAGCTGCGGGAGCTTGAGTGCATGATTCTATGCAATGCCGGCGCATTTTTTTGTCCTATAGGGAACGATTCATTCCATTGATTCCATTGCACCCTCGTAAACAAAAGATACAAAGGCTAAGGTCCGCCTCAAAGCCGGAAACCAAAAGCACCCAGCCGTTTTGGCCTAGGCCCTAGGCATCCTTGCTGGGAATGAAGATGTTTAAACAAGGCAGGAGATGGTTTAGGTAAATGCCAATTGGAACCTGATAGAGATTTCCAATGTTTTCCATTGACATTAGGCGCATTTAGGCGCCATTATGCGCCAACAAACTCAAAAGACTCCGCTTCGCTGATTTGCTAGAATGTTGGACGTTTGCTTGACCACAGCTAGATTGTAAGGAGAAGATAAGTGACAGCTCAAGAAGAACCCTGGTATGAACTAGGATTGCAGACGGTAGCCTACTTATAGCATACTATAATCATACTAGTTTTTTTCCCAGGTTTGTGTGAGTGGGTGTCGCCCAGTTCTGCCGTTGTTTGCGCATGGAAAGCCAACCGACGTGTTTCGGCTCAGGATGCACATGTTGCATGAAAGAAAAAACATGCAACACATTCAGACACATCATCGGACATCTACAGCAATCTCAAAACTGACCAGGACCATGTTTTTGATGTGTTTGGGCAACCACTTGTTGTAGGCTTCTAAGATTCTAGTGGGCACTCAAGTGTGGTGTATCATCGGGCAATGACCCCGTTTCACGGTGCAGTCCCAGTCCCAAGAACCCTACGAACTCCCAACGCTTCGGGGGTGCCTTTGGAACCCCCGAACACCTGAACTACTTGGATCCCTCGGTCAGTTTCTCTGAGCAGACGCATCAGACGGCAGCGTCGATGACCAAATGCCCGGGCCGCCCCACGACGAACGCAGGACGCGGCGCCGTCCGCGACACTGGAGGTGGCGGAGGGGTTGAAGAGAAGATCATGAGAATGAGAAGATGCTTCAGGGGCCTTGTGAGTGGAAATGTGATCTTTCATTCCTGCCTGGTGACTGGTGACCCGTGTTTCCTGGTGATCAGTCCGGGTGATCCGTTCGGGTGGGTCGGGAAAACCTCCCTACCCGTTGGAGGGTGCGATGTGGAATTGGGGTCCATACCCCATCAATCCAACTACATGTGGTCAGAAGCTAGGAACTGACCCTGGCACCCAGCACTGGCTATCCGAAGCTACATGAAGCTACGCCGATCCCATGGCACATCAGTACGGGCTGGGGCAGGCATGCCACTGTGGCATTGTTCCGATTCGAGGTTGGATCTTCTGGGGATGCTCCAAACATACCCAGACGCGACTAATGGGACTGCCATATATGCCTACATTGCCCCCCCGAAACCACCCCAATGTAGGCATATATGGCTATCCCATTAGTCGCGTCTGGGATAGGAATACCTGGGGATCCTCTACCCTCTTTGCTCTTTGAGAAGGTGAGAGGATGGGTCATATGGCCTCAAAGTGTCTCACACAAAACTTCAGCGACTCGACGTTCTGAGGGGATTGTTTGTTTCTTTAAAAGAGACGAGCAACCTTGAGCCAAGATCCAAAAGTATCCCGACCATGATATTTGGAGTTCAATCATGTTCAAATAGAAGAGCCATCCAAGAGTGCAATGTATGATTTGACAATCCTAACAAGACCCCTAGACGTCCTATAGCTTGCACTCTATTTTGCAGGTTGTAAAGCGGATCGAATAACTCACCTGGTCAGAACTTGGCTCACCTGGTCAGAACTTAGCTCACCTGGTCAGATCTCGGCTCACCTGGTCAGAACTCGGCTCACCTGGTCAGACCATGTTTGAAATCGTGAAAACGGCACTTTGAGGAAAATCATTGAAACAGCTACTGGTCCAGAATTGCCCATTCATGGCATTGTTCCTCACCACTCCCAGACGTGACTAATGGGACTGCCATATATGCCGCCCCATTGGCCCCCGAAACCACCCCAATGTAGGCATATGGCAGTCCCATGGAGCGTCTGGGACTGGCTTTATCTCTTGCTTCCTTTTTTTGTGGAGCCATTGACACGAAGTGTCTTTTAATATTCTTGACCGGATGCGTTTTTTCTGAGCGTGCGGAAAGGGAATACCTCTTCCAATGAGTGTCATATAGTGTCATGTCTGGAGATCCCCCTCAGTCGTGTAGGGTTGTCCAGCCACGCGAGCCTGACACCGGGAGGCTCCGATTTGGGGACCAGAAGCCCTCGCATGTGCCCCCTGCCCCCCTCCCAAAAAAAGCATCAGAAGCATCGATCATTTTCACCTACTCACTCCAAGGTAGGTCGCTATAGCTGCTAGCAGCGGCTAGCCTTTGTTTCATAAAGGGTATGGTGACTGGAGGGAGCTACACGCCCATGTATACAGCTTCGAGTGACAGAGGTCAATCAGTGTGTGAGTGTGCGCGCGCTGGTTTTTCTCAGGTTTTTCACGTGGCACCGAAACGGAGGGGAATCACTTTTGAAGGAGGGGAGAGACGAAAGCCATCCCAATCCAAGACTTGGGCGCTTGCCAGCGCATGCCCTGCTTTTCAAGATGGATCCTGCATCTAGTCACAATTGCCATGTGAGTGCAGAGGCCTATGAATGCTTACAGCATGTCCACCAGACTTGCATGAGTCCTTTGGGGGCAATCTTTGCTGAAGCCATGCTGGAAAACATGGGAAAAACCATCATAGCCACAAAATGCTAAGGGCTGGAAGGATGTTCCCCTACGGTCGTTCCCTCTTCGGACCCTTCCTCCCTTCCTCCGTGACCGGAGGTTCGGTCGCCGAACACCGAAATGGCGGCCACATTCTCAGAACTTCCCATACCAGCACCTTCCAACAGGTCTCCGAAATGGAGGGTTGTTAGGCCCTAACAGGTTTCAATTGGTGACCTGTTGGAGGTGCTGGTATATGATATATACTACTGACTAGTAACTTAAAGACTTGTCGAATACAATATATGGTGACTTCCCAAGACCTATGTCATCAGGCCTTGAACCAACATGGGTCATTTGGTATAACTCTATCACTCAGTTGATCCGTATAACTCATTTAAGACGCCATGTTGGTCGTCCAGGCCCGGGGGTCGCAGGAGTCATGGGACTCTCAGATGGGATGCGATTCGCGTGCGTTCCACCGGTTTTCTCGGAGAGGACGACCTGCGACCAAACACCGGTGTGACTGCAGTTGAACCATGAATGAAGAACGCCCATCGGTGAGCCGGAAAGGAGGCTTATATACCTGGAGCTTCGTTTCGGGGTGTCCAATGGAGATCCATATAGCAGTGTAGGGCGTAGCGGCTTATTGGCGACCAGTTGGAAGGTGCTATAAAATAGAATGGTGGCCTTATTCCCATGGAAGGTTGCCCTCACCCCCGAATGTGAGAGAAACCTCTCACCGCGTGGTGTTGCTGGCCCCACTCCTCAGGTTTGATGGTCACAGACCAACCCCCCCGAAAGCACCCACCCCAATCAGCAGAGCCTTTTCGGATGTGGGCCAGGAGCCCAATCCGGGATTTTCCACTCCACGTCACCCTGTGACGTAAACGTGGTTTTGGGTGGGTCGTTGAAGAGGGGGTCTCCCACCGAACCTGTTCGGAGGTGGGTCAGGAGGAATAAATCGGTTCCGGGCACTTGATCAGTGGTACCTTCCGACCTCGCGGTGTGTCCGGAGATCCACCTGTGGATTCAACCCTCCGTGAGGCGCTGGTTTGGTCAGTTGGGTGAGAGCTTGCCTGGCTGGGGGGGGAAATCAAACGTTTCTTGACCCAGGGACCCAGTGGCTTCTTGGACGTCAAGATACGTCAAGTGGTTTTATGCACGAAGCTTTAATATGACGGTAACTGCACTGTAAAGCTGGTCAGGACCCGCACTGCTGCACGAGATGCCGAATTCTGCACGTCAGACACGCAAAGCAGCAAGACAGAATGGGACCGCGTTGGCTATTCAGGAGGCTCCGTCGCTGGGGCGCCGACGGGGACCTGTTGTCACCTGTAAGTTGGAGGGTGCTGGCGCTGGCAATTTGGTTGCACTGCAGTTGTTTCATGACTCTTCTTGCTAGCCTTGCAGGCGGTGTGTCATCTTCCCCGTTCTGCACTTGTCTTGCTTCCAACAGCCCCCCCCGATGTCTGGAACCACTTTGCAGGAACCGCAGTGGAGAGGGAACTGCAGAAGCTTGGCGTTGGTGTGGCGAAGCCGTCGCAGGAGCGCAGTGGGTTGGATGACGGAAGGGTGCTTTTTGTCCAACAGCCGCGTTCTCTGCACCAAGCACATTTGGTAAGACATGGTAATAATTACATAAAATCTAGAAAATAAGCATTTGTACATCCCAAAAGGTCCACAAAAACCTTCCACTCACAAGAGGTTCAGCCCTCTACCTGTACGAAAGCAGCGGAAAAAAAACACATCAAGAGGCTTGTGAAGACGAACCAATCGCTCAGCCTCCCTCTGGAGGATGTGTTTTTTCAGAAAAGGTGTGTTCTTCCAAGACCTGTTGGTGAATAGTTTGAAGGCGCAATGGGGAACTGTAAGTGGACATTTGCTGGACACTTTTGTCCCTCCAGCTGGGCTCCAGCTTAGAATTTTCTGCGAGTTATATATATATATATATATTTGTGTTTTTGCTTATATAGTTATACAATATATATCTTATAGTTATATGTGTATATATAGAGAGTCATTGCAAAATGTACTTGACCATTGTGTTTGCTCGCCATCGTTTAGCAGTCCAAGCAGGATGTCGTTCAAACCAAAGTACCACGCAGAGTGTGAAACAGAATGCATTTCTTTTTGGTTTGGAAACATGCAGAAGTCACTCGGTTTCCAGAGCTGTTGTGGGACCATATTGGACCACACATGTTTTGGCATCATCTCGTGATTGTGGGCCGTGATCAAAGGCCATGTTGCATTTTTGTTCCGCGGTTTCCACTGATTTTAGCGTTCATTTATACCCATGGTTTTGACTGGTAGGGGTGTATACCTTCAATCGTAGCACTTTTTTTGTGGCGAACCAAGCAAATGAGCACTTTTTGGAGTTTCGTAGCGTTTTTTTGGTGAAACGAGCACTGTTTAATGATCTTTCAATGAAACGAAACATTTTTTCAAAATGTTGAGCACTGCAGTCTTCTTGGGCCAAAGGTGGAAACCCGCAAAATGCTCGCAACATGCCGCAAAACGCGCGCAGATTGCCACAAAACGAATGCAAATTAAAAAGTGGCGAACCACCCCAACATGGGTTGGATATGAGAGGGATCCACGTGCGATGGCATGAGTGTTTGTAGCGCTTTTTGCTTGAACGAGCACTTTTGCAACACGAGCGCTTTTTGTTGTAGCGAAGGAAGGTTCAGGCTGTGTATCGTTTGATGCTAGGCGACCGGTGTAGCGTTCTAAACCGTGTGGCACAGATGGAAGGTCTGCGGACTGCTGCGCAGGGTCGACTGAACAGCACCTGTCCGTTCCTTCACGTGCGTTAAGAAAATCCCCCGCGGAACTCGGGGAACTTTGGATCGGACATTTCAGGTCACTTTGAAGAAACCGTTTCCATAGCGGTGTCCGATCATTCTTGAAAAGAGAGGCGCCCCAAGTGCAGCAGGTTTTCGTCCAATTTAGCCTGTTTCATGGGGTTTCACTTCTGCCAGATGCCCAAACAGCCCTTGGGACCCTCAAAACCATAGTTAAGGGTCCAGACCCCTCCAAAGGATTCGGGTCCGACCCCTTGCATATGAGGGTCCAGGAGCGTTTGGGCTGGACATTTCTCTTGTTCTCTCGTGCGACGGACTCCAGGTGCACTGGAACCGGGTTTCGGTGCTCACACCCACCACGGCGGCGCGCGCCGCCTTTCACGCGCAGCTGTGGCAATGCTTCAGTGCACAGACTTGGCCCAACAAGGAGCAGCGTGAGGGGCAGCTTATCAAAGGTATGTGTTATCAAATATGTGGGGCCCCAAAAAAATGATAAAAACAACAATTCAAAGAAGTTTTTGAGCATAAAATGAAACATACTAAAAAACAAAATTTAATATGGTTGATTGTTTCATTTTACCATCAACCATATCAAAATCATCACTACCAACCATATCAATACCTCATTCATTTTTCACAAAATCATCACAGCAAACCATATCATCACCTCATTCATTTTCACAAAATCATCACAGCAAACCATTATTTAAATGCCTTTCATGCGTATTTGTTTTAATATGTCTTGAGAAATAGTGTTGCCTTATTGAACAATTACAAACAGAACAGATAATGGTTTTTAGATTAAAATTGTGTTTTTGTTCCAGTTTCTTTTTTTCTGTATTCTTCATCTTCTTCATATCTTGTTCTTTGCGCTTCATTGTATCTATCTTTGTTATTGTAATGGTAATTTTTGTTGTAGTCTTTACATTTCTCGCAATGTTGCTCTTCCATCATTTCTCATCATATAACAATCTTTTTCTTTCAAATAGATTTTTTTCACATAACCAACATAAAACACTTCTCAGAAAAACAAAACAATAGACTATAATAAAGACATATTCTAAGAACAACACATATAATTCACATAAAAGCTACTTAAAGATTAAATGACTTAATAAAATATATAGAGTATTAATAGATCATCTATTAAATAATGGTTTAGCAGAAATACCTAAGAGAGGAAGAAAAGAATTAAAGCACATCATCATAGATGGTAGGAATTTAGATACAATAAAGCACCATAAATATCAAATGCTTTAAATAAAATACTTAAATCCAATCAGAAATACAAACGAGTATAGGAGTTATGCCTTAAACAAAGCAAAAGATGCTTACACCCTTGGACGGGCAAAAGTATTACTAACCAGAAGGGCAATAAGAAATAGATTCAGAGTAAATGATGTCCAGTCAGCATTTAGAAACTATGCCAATTCCATAAAACTTGAAAATAAAGCACTTTCAAGGTGAGCGAGGATTGGAAATGATTGCTCATCAAAAATCACGATTAAGAGACTTCTTAAAAACTAATAGACATATGAAACTTAACATCAGAACGGAAGGTTTATTTGCAAAACCTGAATATGATGATGGAGGAAATAAAATTGCTACAAGCGAACACCTTTATCAATTACCAGCAACACGCTACAATGTTCATAATGAGGGTGAGTTTATTGAAAATTCAAGATTTAGAAGGCACACAGTCCAATTTCGTATTTAAAAAGTTTGTTTCAATAACCATTCATTTTGATAAGTATGACCCTACAAGAGCGGGGAGGTATATAGAACTACCAGAATGGATTAAACTAAAAAAAGGCGTGTATCAACATAAAAAATAAAGACCAAACATGTTTCAAATACTGTATTCAATGTATAGTCTTTGATAAAATCAGTAAAAATCAGCCAGACGAGATGTTCCACTATAACAAGTTAAATGAACATATTTTTTGAATTGGGAAGGTGTTAAATTTCCTACAGGGAATAGGGACATAGACCGGTTTGAAGAAAACAATAAGCAAGTGTCAATAAATGTTTTTGAACCTGATGACTGCTTGAAGGACAACAACATAATTTTACATAGAGGAACTAAAAACAAAAATGCTAAATATGAAATTGATTTGTTAAAGATTTTTGATGATGACAATAATTATCATTACGCCATAGTAACAAAATAAGAATAGATTACTAAACTGTCAAAGCAACAAGGATGATAGTAGGAAACATTATTGTCATCATTGCTTAAATCCATTCTCAACTGAAAAGGCCTATAATAATAAGCATTTAGAAAAAGGTTGTATGGCATCAGAAGGGCAGCAAACCAAAATGCCTGATAAAGGTAGTTATAATGAATTTGAAAAAACATAACACTAAATTACCGTGTCCTTTTGTAATCTATGGAGATGTTGAATGTCTAACCACAAACTCCAACAATGGTATAAAAGGCACATATCAGGAACATAAACCGTGCGGTTATATGTTGAATGTAGTAAGCAGGATTGATAATACATGCCAACCATACTTATACAGAGGTGAGGATTGTATGAAAAGTTTGTAGAACTACTGACTGAAATTAAGAAAGGTATAGTTGAAAATATGAATGTCAATAAACCAATGGAAATTACATACGAACAAAAATTAGAGTTTAGAAAAGCAACTCACTGCTCAATATGTAATAAGAAATTCCAACCTGAAGATGAGAAAGTCCGCGACCACTGCCACTTCACAGGTAAATACAGAGGCGCAGCGCATGTAACATGTAATTTAGATTATGCATTTGAGTTTTTTTTTTAATGATCCCAATTTTTTTCATAACCTAAAAAACTATGATGCTCACTTAGTGATTGCTAAAGCAAATGAATTGAAACAGGCCGCCATGGGTTCCTTGTCGAGTCTGTAGTTAGCTAATGTTATTCGCTAGAATAGAATATAATATTCGTGGCCACACGTTTCTAGATGTTTCTAGTCACTGAAAAGGCCACCCAAAGAAACGTTCTCTTGTTGTTTCAAGTTGGACTGCTGCTTCTTGGGCTAGAAGAGGTTGGTTGGTTGCTAAGCTAAACAGGAATGTGAAGAACTTTGCTCTCCAAAACTGCAAGTTTGTAGTCCGAAATCTTCATTCAAGTTCGGGCCAAAGCTCAGGCTCAGGTTTTCAGCATCATGACCCGGCCATACTTCATGAATGCCATGTGTTTTAACTCATTTACTCAGCCCCTTTAGACTCCGCCAGGTGAACCGTTGTGCGCGTGCGCGGCCGTGCACCAGGAGCTGGTGGTCGTGGAGACGTACGATTCGACCGTCGAGCGCCTTGGAGGTCTTTCACGTCATCCTTTCACTATTCCCTAGAAGTCGAACCACCATTTTCTTGATAGCCTGAATCCCGAACCACCATTGTTTTACTGAGGGTTCTACACTACAAAACCAGATAAACCATTGAAAAATGGTCTTTGACTTCCAGGGTATTGGGTTGATTGCTTGAAAAAGGAGATGGCTGCCAGGTGTACAAGCAATAGATGTCAATAGATATGTGGCACCAATACGGAGACACGCAAGTCCAGGGAAAGAGTAGGGAAGAAACGATGTCTTCACAACACACATCCACACATGGTTGGCCAACTGATTGCCAACAGAGCAAGGCCCATCACAGGACGTCCTTCTACCCTCCTAGCGGAAACAACTCATATCAATCCTTCTTAAATATTAAATGCTTTTTCGCATGCTCCAAACCATGGTCAACAGACAGCGGCATCATTTGGATCCATCCTCATGGTGGACTTTGGGGTGCCAAGCCGCCCTGGTCGCTCAAGTAGGCCGGCCAAGGCAACCATCCTCGTTCTTTCAAGACCTCAAAGATGATCGCCTGGTCCATGTGGCGCTGGCCCATGATCTGAACGTTGGCCTGAAGCGCACCTCGCTCTTTAGACCGCTCTTTCGGGAGCCCGACGGTCCGCGACGCCCGTCGGACCGGTGAGAACTTCGCACCGTGTCTCGGCGGAGCGAGCGAACGACCTGTTTGGGACTGCCAGTCCGGGCTGCCGACGTACATTGGGGTGGCTTTGGGGTGAATGTAGGCATATATTATGGCAGTCCCATGGAGTGTTTGGGAATGCTGCAAGTGGCCTCAAATCTCACTAGACGCGACCCTGGACCCGAATCCTTTGGGGCCTGATTTGGAGGGACCGGGAAAGGGCTGTGAATGGAGCGTCTGGGTTGGACCTTTCGAGCGGAACTTCCGTTGTGCTAGCATTCCAACGGCTCCTTGTGAGCCTGAACCGAAATGCCTGAGTGTTTGGGGCGCATCCTGGCGGGTCGTGACTTTTGAGTATAGTGCGTTGGTGTTGCCAGCTTCCATTTTGCTCAGGTTTTGTGATAGCCTGCTCGTTCCCAACCATTGATGGCACAAAACCGGGGCCCTTGCTCCCTTTCCATGGTGCTTTCAGGTTTGGATCCCACCTGAGGGAGCAAACTCACTTGGCACAAGTTTGAGGATTGCCGGTTTGAGGGATTGAGGTGAAGCACCAATGTGACATCGTAGTAACACCTGTACTAGGCAGGATTGAAACAAGATGCGCTTCTAGTGAGGTAGACAAATGTAGACAACATATTTGTCCATCCACCGGGCTGATGCAATAGTTTGAGGCTCCAAATTTCAACACTGTTTACCTGAACTTACCTGACTTACCGTGACTTACCTATATATTCTATAGGTATGTCGACTGCCCTTTGAACAGCCTTTGTGGGAGTCCAGTTCGCTGATCTGCACCAAAAAATTTGGACCTTCGTCTCGTCAGGGTCAGCGTCTCAGGAAACATTTCGGTGCTGATGGCCAGTGGAGAGCACCTGGGTCTAGACCCGTGGAACCGCGAGGAGCGAAGGTTCCGCGCGGCCCGATGAGCCGCGGCCGATCCGCGACGACCTGAACCACCCTTACGACCGGGGTCTTCTTACTAGAGCTTGTTGGCTTTCGTTGGTGCCTGGAAGATGGTCCTGGTAACCATGGGCCACAACCATGTCAGGGTATGTTTGGTTTGCCATCCCATCGCGCAGCCAGACGGGTGGTGTTGGGGATGGGGATGGTTGTTTTGTAGCAGTTTGTGCATGGGTGCTGGTCAAACTGCGTGAGGTTTAGTGTTGCTGTGTTTTTTTGGCAGCCTTGCAGGTGCCATATGGGCAGCCTTGCAGGTGCCATATGCTTTGTAAAAGCTCTTATAAAAGTCCACCGCACGTCCAACCTTTTGGTAGTTGAGCAGCATCAGCGTCGCCAAGTGTTTGCTAGTGTTTGAATGTTGGGCGCTTGCGCATCGTTTTTCACGGACCCTCTCACTGAAATTGGCAACATATTTGCTGGCTATATCATGATGCCACGCCTAAGGGGTACAATCACGTTCATGGTGGCCTCTCAATGCTTCAGTGAACCTTGAGAACCCCCATCCATCCACCCCCCCCCATCCATCCAACGCTGCCCATCCGCGAATTGGCAAAACCAAGATGTCGTGGTTGAACCATGGATGTCATGGATGCTTCAGGTGGGTCCCTTCAAGGCGGTCCCCCCTTCCATGCTTGCAAACGGTCGGGATTCGGACCCTCAGGATCCCCCAACAAGCTCCGCAGAAACTGCTGGGCGCGGGCAGCGCGAGCCTTCGCGCCGCTGGGTGCACGGGTCGGTCCTTCGCCTGCCTTTCGGTCCCCCAGGTATTGCGTCAACTTCGACGATGATGATTTCTATGCTGATGGCTATGTGGAGCGGATGGTGGGGGAACTGCAATTGATCCAAGGCTCCAGGAAAGCGGAGGACACGAGACACGATACCATGTGATGATGACATGTCCCCCAATGCGGGGTTCCAAGGAGTGCGAGGTTTAGAGCGTGTTCGACTCGCTTCAGGTTTGGAGAAATGTATGACCTTTTCACGAGAGTTCTCCAAGATTGTCGCATATGTTTTGAGTCAGAAAAGCCGCACCAACTTCTCCAGGGGTGTGGAACATGACATCATGACCTTTGTTCTTCTAAAAAGGTGGTCAGACACCGGAGACCTACCAGATCCGCTCTGGGTCGCCCGACCTGCGCCGGTTTGATCTGTAAAAAGTGGGTCGACCTTGGCAGTTCGCACTGAGGAGGGGATTAGGTGCTTTGAAGCTCTCAGTTGCTCGGCTCAAGGAGCGTGTTGGGACCTCTTGCTGGTGTTGGTACTAAAAAGGCCACAAACTTGTTCTGTTTGACCTGGATCCAGAAAACGGGCCCTTCTTTTTGCATGAGCAAACGTCCAGTGATGTCGATCCCATCCCCCCCAGGTTCAGTATATACATAGCTTGCAGTTAGTGCCTGGTATGCTGGACAGTCCGAGAGTCTCCGCTGGTTTTTGACACTCTTATAGAGGGGGAACAACATCGAAGACAAACCGCGTCCTGGCGGGGGTTGGCAAACTATTTCAACCTCCTGGCGGAAGTTGGCAAACTATTTCAACCTCCTGGTGGGAGTTGGCAAACTATTTCAACCTCCTGGTGGGAGTTGGCAAACTATTTCAACCTCCTGGCGGAAGTTGGCAAACTATTTCAACCTCCTGGTGGGAGTTGGCAAACTATTTCAACCTCCTGGTGGGAGTTGGCAAACTATTTCAACCTCCTGGTGGGAGTTGGCAAACTATTTCAACACAATTGTCTTTTTGGGATATTTCTTTTTGGATACGTTGGTCACTGGTGCTTTTGCTTTGGGCCTGGCTTCGTCGCTCGACCTCGCGAAGGCCTGGCACAACTATTTCGAGTCCACCGGGCGCTGTGGCTATTCCACGCCACACACCTGGAAGGAGGTCCCGGGCGTGACGACCGGGGACCGTGCCGTAGGAGTCAGCTCTAGACCCTGGGAGTCAAAGACCATCAAAAGAATGGTCTGACTAGGTGACCCGAGTCAAGGAATGTCCTTTACTTCAGCCGGTCAAAATATAGTCGAACTGGACTTCAGCCGGGTATAGGTGATACTGATCGGTGTCTTGGGTCTGGATGGCACTGGATGTCACTGGTCACTGGGTGGTTGGAGGATTTTTGTGGTTGGAAGTGGCCACTCGAGTGGCCGAGGAAGAGGCCATAAAGCTGCTTGAAAGGTCTTGGAGGCTCAGACTCCTCGAAAGGAAGGAGTTGCCAAAAATCTCAAGTTTCTTTGATCAGATTTGTTCTCAGGCGTTCTGAACAACACAGGGATATCGCTACTATCCGCTACAATCGCCACACCCACGGGCCTGGCAGCTTAGCAGGACGAAGAGCGGGACAACAATGTCTTCGGCTATGGCTTCAGTTATGCAGCACAGCTGATTTCAGGGGGAGTGGAGTGCTTTGTCAGATGTTGTTGGGACAGATGGGTCATGAGTCAGAAGGAGGACATGTGTTCTCGGGAAACGGAAGGCTGTGGCCACAAACCTTCACATGTAGAACATGATTTCACAAACCAGCACCTTCCAAGGGGTCACCTGGCTGGAAGCCCGAGCCCACCACTAAGGGACCTCCATTGGACACCCCTTGGATGGTCCAGGTATGTTTTACCATGTTTTCCTTCCATGATGATTGTGCAACTCACCGGCGGGACCCCTTCGCCCGTGACCCTATCGATGTAATTTGTGTATAACCCGTAATCCGTGGCCCCAAAGCGTAGAGCAGCTCTGAAGAGGATGTACCACCGCCGTCCATTCCACCATGAAAGGAATGGTTGTTGACTTATTATTGACCTGGATTTGTAGCCCAAAACAACATCAACAATAACTAACTAGTAATGACAACCGTTGGTTGGTAGGTGAAGGTGTTCTTGGCTTGGTACTTTTCCCAGTGGATCTCAGGTGGTTTTTCTTCACTCCAAGAAGACCTCTACCTGTGGGTGCACCAACCATGGAGTGTTTGAGGCTTGGGTCAACGACATCGTTACACTCACCGCTGGTGACGTGTCAACCGGTGGCGTCCTTCGTTCGGCGGAACCGATGGAGCGCCGAACAGGGCGGTCCGCGGACCGGACTCGACCGGACGCCCAGGTCTATCGGCGAGAACTGGCGCTGGCCTATCCCTATCCTCACCTGGACTTTGGTGAGGCTGGACCGTTTTGCACAGTGAAATCGCCTAGCCAAATTGGCCGGACATCAAGGAGGGCCACCGTGGGACCTCACGTTGGTCATTGCACCAGTCATCGGATCATATGCTTGTTGCAGGTCTACCAGGGGGGGCCCATTGCAAAAGGAGGGCATATTTTCGTGGGATATATTTTTTTTTGGGGTGGGATACTTTTTTTTTTTTAGGGCTCTGGAAGGAAGGAAGGAAGGGAAGGAAGGAAGGAAGGAAGGAGGGAAGGAAGGAGGGAAGGAGGGAAGGAAGGAGGGAAGGAGGGAAGGAGGGAAGGAGGGAAGGAGGGAAGGAGGGAAGGAGGGAAGGAGGGAGGCAAGAAAGACAAAATAACAAAGAAAGGACAAAAAGGAAGATAAGCAATAGAGCTAAGCAGAAAAGAGAAAGAACTTAGTGGGCTGGTTAACTTGTCAATCATAATACATACCTGGAAGCATTAGCTGTGTGTGCTCATGGGGGGGAGGCGCTGCTCCCTCCCCCCCAACCCCCCTCCCGCTTATTTTTTAAAATTTAGGCTGTTGCTACAGCATGCCAAAGACAAACCAAGAAAACAACCAAGCATTAGCAACCAAAGCATTTGTCCCTCCAACCCGTAGCAGAAGTTAATGGAAGATCACCATGGAAAACAAAATGTCACCAGGGAAGGGAAAGGTAAAAGGAAATGGAAAGGAAAATGTAAAGGAAAGGGAAGGGGAAAGGGAAAGGGAAAAGGGAAAGGAAAGGGAAAAGGGAATGGAAAAGGAAAGGGAAAGGGAAAGGGAATGGAAAAGGAATCAGAAGACGCAAAAAAAAAAAGTCCCATTAAAAAACAAAAAAATATACCGCTAAAAACCTGCAGCCATTGCAAAAATAAGCATGAACATCCACAAACATGGTTTGGAAGGTAACATGGAATTCCATGAGTTGTTAGGTTTTCTCTGTGTTCCAAGAACGAATCCGAATCATTACGTAATATGTGGTTTGGTTGTACGTCCGAGTTCCTCTACAAAGAAGTTTCTCAAGTTTCACATCGTGTTTGGGTGGGGAACCTTTAAAAGCACAACTAACAATGAATAACCTCAAACATTTAAGAATATCCTTCATGACGATGGCATAGGCTCAAGCCGCTGGCATTCACGTGCCAATGTAGCAAGAACAGCTCAGCTGAACGTTCCTGAGCTACGATGATGAACATTCCAGTGCAGCAGTTGAGTGGGGATGTTACCCTAGTTGAAGCAGTTCCGGACATGACCATCGGCGAGCTCAAGAGACAGCTCAAAGAAAGGCGAGAATGGAAAGATGAGTCAATGAAAAACATGACCCTGGTCGAATTGGTGATCGGTGAAACCAAGCTGATTGACGATCATGAAACAGTTTTGAGAGCAGGTCTTTCTGAAGAAGCAGTTTTGCAAGTTTGCTTCACAGTCCCTTCAATAGAGTGCTCGACAAAGGACGAAATCGATTGGAGGAGCTTCTCCAAAGCCTTGGTGAATATTCCAGAAGGTGTGAAAGACATTCAAGAAAGAGCCTTCTTGAACTGCAACATGGTCGGAGGCGTGACCTTTCCCACCTCTTTGACCAGGATTGGAGATGAAGCCTTCAGTGGCTGCAGGTCCTTGACCAGTTTGACAATTCCAGACTCTGTGACCAAGATCGGAAATGGTGCCTTTTCCTACTGCAGCTCTTTGACCAGTTTGACAATTCCTAACTCTGCGACTCAAATCGGGCACCAGGCCGTTTGTGCTTGCATGTCGTTGACTAGTTTTACAATTCTGGACTTTGTGACTGAGATTGAGAACCAGGCCTTCTATAGCTGCCGTTCATTGACAAGTTTGACCATTCCGGACTCCGTAACATGGATTGGGCATGGAGCCTTTTGTGGCTGCAGCTCTTTGACCAGTTTGACAATCCCGGACTCCGTAACCCAGATTGGAGATGGAGCCTTTGCTGGCTGCAGTTCCTTGACCAGCTTAACCATTCAGGGCTTTGTAAGAGAGATTGGGGCCCAGGCCTTCAGTGACTGCAGTTCTTTGACCAGTTTGACCATTCCGGACTCCGTAACACGGATTGGAATGCGAGCCTTTTGTGGCTGCAGCTCTTTGACCAGTTTGAACATTCCGGTCTCGGTAACACAGATTGGATTTCTAGCCTTTTGTGGCTGCAGATCTTTGACCAGTCTGACAATTCCGGACGCTGTAACCCAGATTGAACATGGAACCTTTTGTGGCTGCAGCTCATTGACCAGCTTGATCATTCCGGACGCTGTAGCTCAGTTTGGGTACCAGGCCTACTGTAGCTGCAGTTCTTTGACCATTTTGACCATTCCGGACTCCGTAACAGGGATTGGAGATAGAGCCTTTGCTGGCTGCAGTTCTTTGACCAGCTTGACAATTCCAGATTCTGT